CAGGGTCAGCATGCTACACTGAGGGACTGCATTGAGCAATTAACGGCAGTGGAGTCATCGAGAGCGATCTTGTGAATCATTTGAGGGAAGCTTTTCAGGAACAGGTTGGTTAACCAGATTATTCTGTTGTTGAAATGTATTGTTTGCAACTTTGTGATTGCATATAAGCTGACTTACCTTTTTTATTTTTAAGAATTGAAGCTGGCTCAAATCCGTAATGAGTTACAGGTTGACACTGTACCTTCCTATGTCCATGGGAATTTATTTATCTAACTCTCGGTGGTATATATCCACTGATGTTTGCACGTGCTTTGATTTAGAGTAAAGCCTTGTAATTGATTAATGCTATGCTTCTAAGTTCATGTCTCACTTTGGAATTACCTTATTATTCTTTAACTTGTAGCTTAAAATTAATTTAGTCAGTGACATTTGCCTCTTTGGGGAGGAGACATCTGCTGTATTATTGATTCTTTCTATTTCTCAATATCCTTCAGTGTGTTGAAGGAAACTGAGTGAGAAATTTTTGAAATTTTCTTGTAAGCTTTGAGACTTATATTATGGTTGTGGATGTTGGATATGGGATGTCTTCCCTTCTGTATCTCACAATTTTAAGAGTGTAATTTGACATTTCTGGCTTTAAAATCCTTGGTGTAATGACTTCATGCAGATCTAAGCATGTGGAGAAATCTTAATTTGTTTGTCCTTGCCAGGCTGCACAAGTCCAGTCAGAGCAGTCTGTCGGCAGTTACTAAATTGTGACAATGTGCCGATGCTAGCCGAGCAGAACCAAAGGAAGCTCATACTTCAATGGCACCTCCAAGCTTATGTCAGGAGACAGAGAACAGTCAGCTCCTGTAATGTACACTCGGCAGGTATCTTGTCTGAAAAATCTGGTCTGTTGAGGAGGACACTCGGAAGTCTGCAGCTGCTGCAGTGGCAGCAAAGCTAACTGCTTCGCATCCTCCGCCCAGATGCTCTCTTACGTCCTCTCGTCCTTGGCATCTGAGGGGTCATTGGTAATTCAAGTAAGAACACTCGGGTGATTTCCTTCAGAGAAAAGGCCTAAGATTGAGAATGAGCAATCTTACTTGCCACCACAGAACCAGCGGCCCTCAGTTCCTTCCTTTCCACACCCTGAATCTCTGCAACATAACATAACAACGACAACTCAACAATTAACTACAAATGACCGCCACCTCCCCCACCATCATCTCCTCCACCGATGCCTCCACTACACCTCTGCCACTTTCAGATGCCCCAGTACATTCAAAATACTGCAGCTATGACTAGTGCCCCATACAGCTACAACATGAGCCAACCACACCCCTACATGCCTGGTTATCCAGGAGCTGCAGCTCCAATCACGGGCATGTTCCCTTTGCAGCCACCCAACAAATCCTTATCAGAGTTTTCAAGGTTCTGATGGTAATTTCTATAGTCAACCATCACGTGCCAATGGCACCAATTTCTCGACAGTAGAATGTCAGTCGGGGCTGCTCTGATAGGTTTTGCTGGGCAACAGGCAGCATCTCTCTCTTGATAACTTATGAAGCCGTGTTGTGAGCTTGGCACTAGAAACCCTATTGTTTGTGTCTGTTATTATACAACTAATTTAGAATTGCACATAGTGATGTTTGTAACTTAGCTTTGAATTGGTTTTAGATTTGATGTTACCAAAAATCAATTGCATTGTTGAATTTAGATAGGGATTTAACTCATGTTTAGATCATCTTTGTTTATGGTCTGTTAATGCTATGTATCGTCCATTCTATTGGTGTGGTGGAGTGCCTTCTGGTGGCTTAAATGTCTAGTATTTGATGATATTTTATTTCTCCGTGTTTTAAGATGACCAAATACATTATATATCAGATCGTCTGTTCAAGTGGTTGAGTTGTAATTAAGTTTGGTGTTATTAATTAATTAATTAAAAAATTAACCTGAAACTAAATTAAAAAACAAAAGCTTTTGTGGTTGGAAAGACAAACAGAAGTCGGTGGTGATGAAACAATCACCTGAGTGTGAGTGTTAACTAATTAACATTCTGTTTGGGGAGTAACACTAATCTTACAAAGTGTCATATAAAGAGACAATTCTTATCCTTCAAATTCATGGTGTTTCTCTTCTCTCTTTTTCTTTCTTTTAAAGGTAAAGATTATCTTTATTGTCTTTTGTAAGACTAGTGTTACTCATGTTTGAGTTATGGTTGGACAATTTTGAGTTTGAAATAATAAAAATAGACTTACAGTGAACAGCATTGTCTTCTGTCTAACAAAACCCATCATTCCTTTGACCATTCGAACATCATGCCCACCAAAATCAACTGTGACTTCCCAACAGCATTTTCTGTCTAACAAACCATCATTCCACTTTGACCATTCGAACATCAGCCCACCAAAATCACTTGATCTTGTGACTTCCCAATGTTTTGGGGATTTCAACTAAATTGAAATTAAGAGAGATATATAGTCTTATTAAGACCAACCCCTAACTAAGTTGTAACGATATATAAATTAGTTTGTTTAACTGAATCTCTTACCTTAAAATTTGATTAACTGGTTTCCCCGACATGGTTTCAGAGTAAATGTTGGTTTGTGAAACATTTTCTGAGCCATTTAGGATTAAAATAATAGAATAATACTATTCTGGCGTCCAAACAGAGACACAGAGACATTCCCCTCAAACGACAGTGTTGAAACACTAGGAGAGACAAAAGCACCGTCAGATCCCAATACCGATACACCAACCAGATTATTTATTTTTAAACTCGGGACTAAAATTTTAATCCAATCCAAACATTGCCCTTGATAATGAAGCCCCCCCATTTAATTTCAAAGTGAAAGACGACAAATAAGAAGCAGTAATATTAAAAAAAAAAAAAGGAAAAGGAAAAAAGTAAAAGAAAGCAGTCAGTCAACGTTTGGGTGACGTCAGCTTCAGGCTTCAGCTTGTTAATGAACAAACAAAAGCTGAGAAAAGCCGTCATGTCGCAGTTTGCTTTAACGGCTCATGAGCTAAGGGCTATGATAAAGTGAGGTTGGTCACATTTTAAAAAGGTGTGTTGCGTCAGACTTTGTTACAAAAGCATGCCCCCAGCGCTCAATATTTGGTCAAACTGGGAGACCAAGTAACAGCATTCTCCCTATTCTTCACCTAATTCATTATTTCTTTCTTTTTTTTAATTTATTTATATTAATATTTGGTTTTTTATTTTCGGATATAATCGGAGTAATTTGACTTTATTGGAACCGGAGGGAGCTGCCCATTAAATGATGGTTGTTAGTGAGAATCTTTGTCTCTCTAAAATTACGGAATTTGCCACTGGCCTTACGTGGTTTCCATTGGACAATAGCACAAGGGTTTAGTTTTGTCCTAACCAACATTTTCACCTTTAATTTCTTTTCTGTGTTCTGTGATCTGTCTTGTCGCTTGCATTTCCTTAAATTATTCTCGGTGATTCACTAATCACTATTATAATTTTTCAACACTTAAATGCACGTGTCATACAAAGATGTTTTCTTTTCTTACATCCTGGCTAATAATCAAGATTAATTAAAGCAAAATTAGACACTGATTTATTAATTATGTTATGGGTATTAGTTCCAAGAATGAAGAGGAATGAACGAATTCAATTAACTTGATGATTCACTAATCTTTTACAAAACCACCGACCAACATTTACAACATGAAAATTAACTAACGTCATTAATTAAGTTGGGCCTCCCCACCTGAAATTGGTCTGCCATCATGAAGCATAAGGACTGACACAGTGAATTTCTCATTAGCTGTGACTAATTTTGATTAATCAAAGTTAAACCAGATTAATTTTAAATAAATAATAATGGGGCGGGCGACATCCAGTGCATGGGTGCCCTGTACTTTTAAGGGGCTATGTTGAGCACATCTCACCGGCTTTTCGCCGCAACATGTTCCTAGGTCCCCTTCACCTTTTTCCAACACCATTATCAAACCTTACTGTATTTCTCAATGTTTTCCATTTAACTTCGTTTGCTTTACCACGTGCTCCCACTATTCTTTTTTTTTTTTTTAAAGATCACCAGACAGAAGCATTAATTGAAATGGGTTGTTTTGATGTGATTTAGTGTTGCATTAGTAATAACTGAGAAAGTAATAAACAGAATAAATAACCAGTACCAAAAGAAATTGAGAGATATGATTGATTATTACCTCAAATTTGACTGCTTTCAATTGAAAATGATCAATTAAATGAAAGGGATAGGGGTATTTATAGCTAATACACCTCCCCCTTTCACCACCTCAAGTAAAGGCGGTGGATGTCTACCAATTTTTTTACAACACTCCACTTGGACATCCACCATTATAATAAGTGATTTAACCTTACTCAAGAAAAATCTTGTGGAAAAAAAACCTAAGTAAAGAAATACAACTGTAACGTACAGTTGTATTTCTTTACTTAGGTTTTTTTTTCCACAAGATTTTCTTGAGTAGGTTAAATACACTCTATAATTGGTGGACATCAGTTTGACGTGTTTCATATTGTCTCATTAAAACAAAATCAGATCAAGAAAAAGAGTACAGTGCACATATGTCTAATATAATATACTTTGTCCAAAAAAAAAAAAAAAAAAAAAAAAAAAAAAAAACCTAATTGATGCTTCTCTTGATCAATGCTCCCCCTCATAATGATAGAATTAATTTAGTAACTTATTGAGCTGCTACATACCGATGTTATACACTAACTTTTCAAATGTTGATGTCAGTAAGACCTTAATGAATAAATCTCCAAGATTATCACTAAAGCGTATTTATTTGACATCAATCTCACGATTTTGCTGGAGTTTGTGAGTATAAAAGAACTTCAGTGAAATATATTTGGTTCTATCTCCTTTGATATATCTTTCCTTGACTTGAGCAATACATGTTGCATTGTCTTTATTTATAATTGTGGGAGCATTTGAGGTACATGGTAATTTGCATGTACTTTCGATATGATGGATGACAGATCTTAATCATACACATTCTTAGTTGGCTTCATGAAGCGCAAGAATCTCGGAGTGATTGGAAGAAGTGGCAACCAATGTTTGTTTTGTGGAGCACCATGATATTGCAGTACCATTGTAAGTGAAAACATATCCTGTATGGGAGTGGGCCTTGTGACGATCATAAAGGTACCCAGCATTTGTATAGTCAACTAATTTAGGATCATTAACAGATTTCCTTGGATAAAATAATCCAAAATCTTTTGTTACACTGAGGTAACGACAGACATGTTTGATCCCATTCCAATGTCGGCGAATTGGTACAGAGCTAAATCTTGCTAATAGATTCACTGCAAATGCTATGTTTGGTCTCGTACATTGTGCCAAATATACTAATGCACCTATTGCATTTAGATATAGTACTTCAGGACCAAGTATCTTTTCGTCGTCTTCTTTATGACGAAATTGATATTTTTTAGGATCAAGAGACCGAACTACCATTGGGATACTCAAGGGGTGAGATTTATCCATATAAAATCGCTTAAGAATCTTTTCAGTATAATTTGATTGATGGAGCAAAACTCCATTTGAACAATGCTCGATCTACAGGCCGAGACAATACTTTGTTTTCCTCAGATCCTTTATTTCAAATTCTCTTTTCAAGTACTTGGTAACTTTTGTGAGCTCTTCAAGAGTCCCTATTAAGTTCATGTCATCGACATATACTACTACAATTGCAGATCTTGATTATAACATTTTTATAAAGACACATGAGCATACAAGATCATTGATGTATCATTCCTTCATCAGATATTCACTGAGACAATTATACCACATTCGTCCTGATTGTTTCAACCCATATAACAATCTTCGCAATTTTATTGAATACATGTTCCTTTAATTTGCTTCTGGCATTTTGAATCCTTCAGGGATTTTCATATAGATATCAGTATCTAGTGTACCATACAAATACACAGTGACAACGTCCATGAGATGCATATCAAGTCTTTCTGAGACTGATAAACTAATCAAGTATCGTAATGTATCCATCACTAGTGAATACGTCTCATCAAAGTCAATTCCAGGTCTCTACAAGAAACCTTAAGCCACTAGTCTGGCCTTATACCTAGCAATCTCATTTTTCTTATTTTGTTTCCTTGTGAATACTCACTTGTATCCTACGGGTTTCATGTTTTCAGGCGTGTTTGGACAACAAGTCCAAATTCATTACGTTTTGCTAGGGAGGTTAATTCTGCTTGAATCGCCTCTTCCTATTTTGGTCACTCATGTCTTTGTCGACATTCATCAGCAAAACGTAACTCAAACTCATCATTCATATTTTCAGTAGCGACTGCGTATGAAAATATGTTATCAACAATAGTTGCTTCACAATTCTACATTTCTTTACTATGAGCATACTTTATAGAAATTTCTACATTTCTATGTTCTTGCATTCCTTCAGGGATTTGTTCATCTTCAAGGGTTTGTGTCCGTTCAGGGACTATTAACTCTTCTGGAGTTAGTTTATAAGATGTGAAATTATCTATTTTTCCAATATTGTCAACGTTGTCACCTATTTAGTTTTGTGTCTTTCGTTTCCTAGGAATAGTATCCTTGGCTCCAACCGGCCTGCCACGCTTCGTGCGTGTAACTTATGAATCGATCGCTGCCCATATAGATTATTCATTGGTAACATCAATCCTTATTGGTGTATTGATAGCAGGAATGTATGATCTCGTTATTTTTGCTGCATCTGTAAATGCATCAAGCATTTGGTTGGCAATATTTTGCAAATGTGTTATTCTTTGCACTTCAATTTCTGATTGAGATGTGCGAGGATCTAAATGAGGCATAGAATTCATTTTCCAGAAAAGTTTAGGTCTTACTTCAGGAGGCTTCACCATTTTCCCCTAAAGATAAGAATATTATCTCATTAAAATGGTCATTCGCAAAACGTGCAATAAACAGATCGCCCGTCAACGACTCAAGATATCTGATGTAGATGGTGAGTTATGACCAACATATATTCCTAAATGATGTTGAGGTCCCATTTTGGTACATTGAGGGGGTGCAATTGGAACCTGCATAGCACAACCAAAGTTCTTAAATGGAATATATTAGGCTGATGTTCAAATATAAGCTGTATTGGAGAATATTGATGATATGCAGTAGGTCTTAGGCAAATTAACGCCGCAACATGTAAAACAACATGAGTCTAGGCAGAAGTCGGTAATTGCTTATGTAATAGCAAAGTTCTTGTAATTAATTGAATACGCTTTATAAATGATTGTGCCATACCATTCTAGGTATGTACATGTGATACTGGGTGCTCAACATAAATTCTTATTGCTGTACAATAGTCATCAAATGTCTTTGAGGTAAACTCACTAGCATTGTCCAGATGAATTGCTTTAATTGGGTAATCTGGAAAGTGTGTCTGTAATCTGATAATTTGTGTAGCAATCTAGCAAAGACAACATTACGGGTTGATAGTAGACAAACATGTGACTGTCGTGCCAATACATCAATCAGTACCATAAAGTAGCAAAAATGTCCACTTGGTGGATGAATAGGTCCATATATGTCCCCATGAATTCTTTGTAAAAATGATGGGGATTCTAGACCAATTTTAGTAATGGATGGCTTAAGTGTCAATTTGCCTTCTAAGCAAGCAATACAAGCACTTTCATTAGGTGATAGAATCTTCAGGTTCTTTAATAGGTGTCCATGTGTGTTTTCTATGATCCTATGCATCATAGTAGATCATGGATGACCAAGACGGTCGTGCCAAATCTTAAAAAGTTCAGGATTAATAAACTTATGGTTCATAACTGCATAGACTTTAACATCTTCAGGAATGTGTAATATAGCCCTGATGAGAAAGCAAAGAGTTTTTCTAATACCTGCTTCTGACATGAAATATTAGCAGTGATGCATAGAAACTCTCCATTCTTTTCACTTAAAGTTTCAATGTGGTATCCATTCAGTCGTATATCTTTGAAAATAAACAAATTTATTTTGGATTTGCTAGAATATAAAGCATCATAGATACTTAATTTAATTCCGCTTGGTAACACAAGTGGTTCTCTTCCGGAGCCCTCAATTATGTTTGCAGATCCTGATATAGTATTTATTTTAGCCTTAGTAAAGGTCAAACTTGAGAAATATTTTCTATCTCGAAGGATGGTTGCATTGTCTAATACACAAATGTTTCCACCATTACTGGATATCGATGTCTCGGTTTCGAAGTCCATCCTTAAAAAAAAAAAATAATAAATAAATCCACTAGTAAGGATGTTTACAGAACTTCATCTTCATGATATGGAACTTCAAGTCCAATTTTTGTCTCTTTTTTACAAACTTCATGTTTGTAATTAGTATTTAGCAATGTTTTAAAACCCAACCCGAGGTGAAACCCGGCAAAGTTTTCAGGTCCCGGGTTGACCGGTCAAACCGGTTGAAAAAAAAATTTAAAACTCAAAAAATACACCCCTAAAAATTACCTTCAAGTCCTTACATGTTTGAACTTTCTCAAACACACCCCAACTGAAAATCGACCAGCGACTGATCGGTAGCGACGACACCCCAGATGCAACTCAAATCTTCCCCTGAGCCCATTTCCATTAAAATCTACCCAGGATCTGGCCGAAATAGGTTCGATTTCGGCCAGATTTCACCGACGTCGGCGTGGGTATTCCAGGCCAGATCTCATCCATGCCGGCGCCCACAAACCTCCCCATCACCCAGGAATTACTCCCCTGTTCCTCCCGACCAAAACCCACCTCACCCCACCCCCGTTAGCCTAGCTAATCGCCGGAAAAATCCCATTGTTGCCGCTGCCAAGTTTCTTCGATTTTCGGTCAATTTACTCACCGGAAATCAACGACACCACCACCATTGTATTCACCGGACCTTATTCTTCAAAAGCCCTAACCTTTCGGCCGTCGATTGTTCGCTGATCATCCTCCCAAATCTTAGGGTTTGGAGGTGAATCGGAAAAGTTAAACCCGGCCCAGTGAAGCTGCCGAGTCCCGGTTCGACCGGTTCAACCGGCCGGGCTGGGCCGGGTTTTAAAACAATGGTATTTAGAACTTCAAGTTTTAAAACGATATTTATTTATGCAACTTCAAGTTCATTTATCAAATATAATATGGAAGTACAATTGCTAACATTGGTTATTGAAAAATAATAAAAACAAATCTAACCATAAATGTTGTATTTAACAAGAATAAACAAATCTGACCATGTAGGCGGTATTAAATATAATAAATAGATCCAGTTATAGAGGTAGAATTTAACAAATAATAAATAGATCTAACTATAAAGATAGAATTTAACAATAATAAGTAGATCCAACTATAAAGATATAATTATAATGAATAAATCTAGCCATAAAGGCAAAAACAAAAATTAAAGAACATATATAGGATCGAAGTTTTTACTTTTGTAACGTTACATTTGTTAAGCTTTTCATAATAATAACTGTATTGTGATTTTAGTAGTGCTATTTAGTAAAGGTGGTGGATGTCCACCAAATTTTTTTTTTTTACAACAGTTTGTTTATTTTTGGATTATTATTCCAATGGACTGGTGGTATTATCAGCTTGCCTCAACGTAAAAGGAAAAAGCAGATGAATATAAAGAGTGTAATTCATAAACTTTGAAAACATAAAAGCTGAAGAAATGATCACGCTTATTTAATCCCGTTTCCCAAAAATTAATCCAAAAACAAATCATGAATCTGCTCTCCTCAGCAAATCTTCCTGCATAAAATCTTAATCACACTGCCTGCAGTTCTTAAGAGTTTGAACAAATTACTTTTGACCATTTTTTCCTCTAGAAAACCTCTTTAGTCATACTGATTTTATGATGAACTTTCTGATTTATAAAAATGAGCAGGGAAAATATTAAGCGTTATATTAAAGCAATGATTTTGTGAAAAGGAAGTATATAAACTATAAAGGAGTAGCTGTGTGTATTTTTTTTACGTGAGTGAGGTGAGATCGATATACGAGAGAGTAGGAAAAAAAAAAAAAAAAAAAATCCGACAGGCACAGGCTCAGTGACAGTATAAATCCAACCATATCAATTTCTTTTTCTTCGCAAATATAATCTGTCTATTTCAAACATGAACCTGCATATCCCTTCTCTTCATATCTGCAAAAAGAAGAAACTTTCTTTTTCTGTGGAATTAAGTAAAGGCAAGGAAAGGAGCATTCCGTACAAACTTATATATAACAATATTTTATACACTCATTTATTTCTAATTAATTAACAAATTAAAGCCAGCCTGTTTCTCATTGGACGTGCTGCATCTGCAAACATGAACCAGCATGTTCAAACTATACCATTCATCTGAATTTACAGTTCCAACTGAACAAATGGAGCTGAAAATATATTTGCTTTAATGAAAAAGAGAGATATAAGAGAATATGATTTGGGTTTTAGATACAGAATGGGCATATATGTGTTGTGTCAAATGGAGAGAGAGAAAATAAAATCTCGAAAGGAAGATGCCAAAGGGATAATCTTCAAAAACAAATAGCCCACATGTGAGTGAGATGTTCGTAATTAGTAACAAGTATTAGTGACAATATTCCTTCGGCTTTTAAAGAATTCCTAAAGATCAAACCGTCCAAATCCAAACGTTGATCGAGGATTCCATTTTTCTTATCAACATGGGATTGGGCGGGGACCCATTTACAAATTCGAACTCATCCATCAATATCATCATCTTCTTCAAACAAACATGACGTAATAGTTGATTGAAATTAAATTGCTAGGGGCGTTAGAGCTGAAAGGGTCCAAATAAAAGAAGCTAAAATGCGCATGAATGTCACGTCAAAAAAAGAAACAAAGGTTTGTGATGGCCACGTTTCTCCTTTAAACTTTATGATCATCTTGGCCCGACAACAAGGGTGGAGACAGCCGTCTATTTGCCATTAACTCTCTTCTGATAAAGCCTGTGCTACATGTTCATGTCTCTCCTCTCCCATTTTAATATAAATTTTACTTTATTCTTTTCTTACCTAAAAAGATATTTAAATCTATCAACAGGACAAACAACATAAGCTTGTGAGAAAATCTCTCTCTTCGGCATGCGCTGACGAGAGCTGCACAGAAGCCTTTTTTGTTTGTCTAAAAGAAAATAAATTAATTAAAAAATTTAGAGAACGGTGTTATTTACAAAAACACCCTTATATTAAAATATTAATAAAAAAAATCGGAGTCTCTTTATCGTATGGTCACCTCTATAAATACCAACCAAATCTCCCTTCATTTCTCACTAAGCTCACTCAAACTTCACCGACAAAAAAAACTTAAACTTTCTCCACATCTTTCTTGTTGAATCCACCTTTGCATTTTAAAATGCATTACCAAACCGAGTCATGGAGTTCGTATGTTCCACAGAGAACCGTTGGTGGCGACCCGTTGGAGCGCATAGAGCGGCTGGCCTCAGAGAATGCGGTGGTGATCTTTAGCATGAGCTCCTGCTGCATGTGCCACGCCATCAAGCGGCTGTTTTGCGGGATGGGTGTGAACCCGACTGTGCACGAGCTGGACGAGGACCCGAGAGGCAAAGAGATGGAGAAGGCTCTCATGAGGCTTCTGGGTGGTTCTTCTTCTGTTCCTGTTGTTTTCATTGGCGGGAAGCTGGTTGGTTCCATGGACAGAGTCATGGCCTCTCATATCAATGGCACTCTTGTGCCTCTTCTCAAAGAGGCTGGCGCTCTTTGGCTTTGATGATCCTCATGATTTATCTTCTCCAATAACACTTCCAAAAAACCCCCCCCAAAAAAAAAAAAAAAATGACTCGTATAGGAAACGACAGAGGAAGAGGAGTTGTATGTTTCGTGAATCTCCTCGTTTTGGATACACGAAGAACTAATGTCTGCGTTGATTAGATAATCTTTACTTTTTGTATGTCTTTTCTATTTTTATTTTCCTGAACATGTCAGTCTTCATTTTGCTTTCTGTTTTCTCTTGTCAATGTCTCCAGAAAGAAATGTAATTGCTCCCTCCTCTGTATCACCATAGATAGCAATGTTAAAGAAAAACTGTTCTCCATATATAAATCTCCTTCTCGCTTTGTTTCTTGCTAGCTACTTTAAATCTTTACTCCAGTTTAAAAATGTGATTATAAAAGTAGAATTACATCAATTGCATTTACTTCATTTTTTATTTATTTTTGGTTATTATTACTATAAGTTTCTCTAACTTGTACGTGCACAAGTTAAAAAGAAAAGAGAAAAAATAACAGTCCCTTTAACGGAGTTTACTTTTTTTATCATAAAGACAACCTACCTTGTTTTCAAGTGAAAAGAATTTTCTTTTTTACCAAACCAGACTGTGGACTACAGCGCTAGCCTTTATAAACTCAGTTTTTACCGTCGGTACGAATCAATTTCTGGTTTTTTCCCGGAAAATTCGCCGGCTTATGTTAATGTTTGTTCGGTGGATGTCGAGAGATACGGTTATGGAACTCCTCAGTCCTCATCACTACACTCTCTCCTTCATTTACATCCATCAAGAACAGTCAATTTTAAACTAGTCCAAGCTCATGTGTTGTCAACGGTCCTTGATTGAGTTTGAACCTTATTTGTGGTCTTTTCACCATCCGATTGAAGTCCTGTCCGTACAGATGGGTCCGCCCCATTTGAATTTGACACGTGTGATTCTTGTTATGGCGTTGGTGACCCGGTGTAGGGACGTAGGAGAGAATTTCGAATAAAGGAATGCGGGACGGTTAATAAATAGTTATTTTATTCACTGGAGTGGCCCCACCAATCACCTTCTCTTTGTTCTCCGATTTTGCTTCTAAAGACCTTCTAGTTTGCATTCACCAACCAAACACACAAAAGGCTCAACAAGCAACGCAGCAACAATGTCAAAGCAAAGAAAATTAACTAAATGCAAAACCTAAGAAACAAATTATACTAAGCACACGAAACAAAACTAAAACAAATCTAAAATCTAACGAAACTATACTCAATGAAATTTCACACAACAAAATGTTTAATCAAAACTAAATTTATCAATGCAACCTAAAAGAATTTAATACTAAGGACAAAAAATTAAATCCTAGGAATAAAAGAAAAATCAAAGGTTAAGAGAATTTCACAATCGAGACGTGCAGGATCTTCAATGCTCACGACACGCTGAAGCGTTTTCCCAATTGCAATTTTCCTGCAAAACAAAAACAAAACACAAATGAAACTATTCCAATGAAAATAAAATAGAACAAAGTGAAAATGAAATTAAGCAAACAACCTAAAAAGAAAATAATTAACTAAAAATGCAAAGAGACAAACTAAACGGGACACAAATATTAAACAATTCACCCAAACAAATAATCACAAGAAAGAAAATAACACAAACAAAACAACCAAACAACAAAGACTAAAGTAAACCTAGAATAAAACTAATAACTACCCAAACACACAAAGTCAAAAGCACGTTGCTCCCCGGCAACGGCACCAAAATTTTGTTAGACCGATCGTCACAGTCTAAAAATTAAACCTAAGTACCGTAGTTAGCGGTAAGCAGGATCGAATCCACAGGGAGCAAGACTAACAACCTAATGTATTTTAAGTAGCGAAAATGAAATTGGCAATGGATTAATGAAACTAAATAGACTAAATGCAAATAATGAAATAGTGCAATTAAAACTAATAAAAACTTTATAATAAAAATGTTGTCGTTACGGTTTTGGTTCGACACGAGACCGACTCACACAATTCTTCTCCACCCTCTACGATCCCCTAAACAACATAAATGAGACAAAATCACCCTTAATCCATAAACCACAACTTAATATCAACTCATAAACTTTCCAAAATCATTCCAAACACGTTAAATTCATAAGAAAAATATTAGGAAGCGATTTTCGTGAATAAATTCATAAATTCTTTAATTGCCTCAATATACTTCAATTTAATCACAAATGGGGTATTTTATCACCTAAATAGAGTCACTTTCATGACTCTAACAACGTGCTTTATATTGTCTCATTAAAAACCTTGTCAGGAAAACCCAATGGGGCAAAATCAGATCAAGGAAAAAAGAGTATAGTGCACATATGTCCAATACAATATATTTGTCCAAAACAAAAAAAAAAAACAAAAAAAAAAAAAACCCTAATTGATGCTTCTCTTGATCAATGCTCCCCATCATAATGGTAGAATTAATTTAGTAACTTATTGAGCCGTCACATACCGATGTTATACACTAATTTTTCAACTGTTGATGTCGGTAATGCCTTAATGAATAAATCTCCAAGATTATCACTAGAGCATATTTGTTTGACATCAATCTCACAATTTTGCTGGAGTTCGTGAGTATAAAAGAACTTCAGTGAAATATGCTTGATTCTGTCTCCTTTGATATATCCTCCCCTGACTTGAGCAATACATGTTGCATTGTCTTCATTTATAATTATGGGAGCATCTGAGGTACGTGGTAATTTACATGTACTTTCAATATGATGGATAACAGATTTTAACCATACGCATTCTTGGCTGGCTTCATGAAGCGTAAGAATCTCAGAGTCATTGGAGGAAGTGGCAACCAATGTTTGTTTTGTGGAGCGCCATGATATTGCAGTACCATTGTAAGTGAAAACATATCTTGTCTGGGAGTGGGCTTTGTGAGGATCAGAAAGGTACCCAACATCTGTATGATCAACTAATTTAGGATTATTAACAGATTTCATTGGATAAAATAATCCAAAATCTTTTGTTACACTGAGGTAACAAAAGATATGTTTGATCTCATTCCAATGTCGGCGAGTTGGTATAGAGCTAAATCTTACTAATAAATTCACTACAAATGCTATGTTTGGTCTCGTACATTATGTCAAATATAATAATGCACCTATTGCATTTAAATATGGTACTTCAGGACCAAGTATCTTTTAGTCGTCTTCTTTAGGACGAAATGAATCCTTTTTAGGATCAAGAGACCGAACTACCATTGGGGCACTCAAGGGGTGAGATTTATCCATATAAAATCATTTAAGGATCTTTTCAGTATAATTTGATTGATGAAGCAAAACCCTATTTGAACAATGCTCAATCTACAGGTCGAGACAATATTTTGTTTTCCCCAGATCCTTCAGGAGTCCCTATTAAGTTCATGTCATCGACATATACTGCCACAATTGCAAATCTTGATTTTGACATTTTTATAAAGACACACGAGCATACAGGATCATTGATGTATCCTTCCTTCATCAAATATTCATTGAGATGATTATATTACATTCATCCTAATTATTTCAACCCATATAACAATCTTCGCAATTTTATTGAATACATGTTTCTTTAATTTGCTTCTGGCATTTTGAGTCCTTCAGGGATTTTCATATAGATATCAGTATCCAGTGTACCATACAAATACGCAGTGACAACGTCCATAAGATGCATATCAAGTCTTTTTTAGACTGATAAACTAATCAAGTATCGAAATGTATAACATCCATCAATAGTGAATATGTCTCATCAAAGTCAATTCCAGGTCTCTACAAGAAACCTTAAGGCACTAGTCTGGCCTTATACCTAGCAATCTCATTTTTCTTATTTCGTTTCCTTGTGAATACTCACTTGTATCCTACAAGTTTCATGTTTTTAGGCGTTTGGACAATAGGTCCAAATACATTACGTTTTGCTAGGGAGTTTAATTCTGCTTGAATTGCCTCTTCCAATTTTGATCAATCATGTCTTTGTTGACATTCATCAACGAAACGTAACTCAAACTCATCATTCATATTTTTAGTAGCTATTGCGTATGAAAATATGTTATCGACTATAGTTGTTTTACAATTCTACAGTTCTTTACTATGAGCATAGTTTATAGAAATTTCTTTATTTTTATGTTCTTGCATTCCTTTAGGGATTTGTTCCTCTTCAAGGGTTTGTGTATGTTCAGGGACTATTAAATCTTCTGGAGTTAGTTTATAAGATGTGGAATTATCTATTATTCCAATATTGTCAACATTGACACCTATTTGGTTTTTGCCTTTCGTTTCCTAGGAATAGTATCCTTGGCTCCAACAGGCCTGTCACGCTTCGAGCGTGTAACTTATGAATTGATCGCTGCCTATATAGATTATTCATTGGTAACATCAATCCTTGCTGGTGTATTGACAATAGGAATGTATAATCTCGTTATTTTTGCTGCATCTGTAAACGCATCAGGCATTTGGTTGGCAATATTTTGCAAATGTGTTATTCTTTGCACTGATTGAGATGTGCGAGGATCTAAATGAGACATAGAATTCATTTTCCATAAAATTTTAGGCCTTACTTCAGGAGGCTTCACCTTTTTCCCTAAAGATGAGAATATTGTCTCATCAAAATGGTCATCCGCAAAACGTGCGATAAACAGATTGCCCGTCAAGGGCTTAAGATATTTGATGATAGATGGTGAGTCATGGCCAACATATATTCCCAAACAACATTGATGTCCCATTTTGGTACGTTGAGGGGGTGCAACTGGAACCTGCACAGCACAACCAAAGTTCTTAAATGGGATATACTAGGTTGATGTCCAAATACAAGTTGTATTGAAGAATATTGATGATATGCAGTGGGTCTTAGACAAATTAACACCGCAACATGTAAAACAACATGAGCCTAGGCAGAAGTCGATAATTGCTTACGTAATAGCAAAATTCTTGCAATTAATTGGATACGCTTTATAAATGACTCTGCCATACCATTATGGGTATGTAAATGTGGTACTGGGTGCTCAACATCAATTCTCATTATTGAACAATAGTCATCAAATGTC